CGGGGCCTCTGTCGGGGGAAACTGAGAGGAGTGAGGGGCAGCCCGGAGCCGCCCCTCGACACAGGGAACACAGGAAGGACCAGGCCCTGGAGGAAGGGGAGGGAGGGACCGGGGGAGACCAGAGACAAGGACACGGGAAGCCATGCCTCGGAGACGAGGCAGGGAGGGGTGACCAAGACGGTGGTGCCACAGGAGAGTCTCGTGAGACATGAGGCGACACGAGCAGGGGGCAGACTCAGGACCAGACCTGGACGCTGCAGCAAACACCTGACCCGACGCAGCTACCTGGCTAGACGCAGGGACAGGAGGAGACCCAGTGGTCAGGGTGTAGAGGCTCGACCCCGGCCAACGCGTAAACGTGGCCAGGTGACGACCTGTGCGAGCGTCCGAGCAGTGGGTCACCCGCTGACTCGCAGGAGTAAACTGGTGAACCCCTGCATCCTGCAGGTCAGCACCACTCACCAAGTTCGTAGAGAACGAGGGGAGGTAAAGACCAGACAAGGTGCCAGAGGGGGCAGCCGGACACGGGAGGACAGTGGAGAAGTGAGAGAGGACAGGACCCCCAGAGGGGTCTGCCAGGGAGACTGCAACCGGCCGACCAAGCGGCGTGAGTGTGGTGCGGTCTCGAAAGAAGGAGCGAGAAGCCCCTGAGTCAAGTGTGAAGGTGAGGGAGGCCGAAGCCGACGTGGTACCTGAGAGCGCAGACTCACCAGCACCTGAGGGCGCAGAGGCACTAGCACCTAGAGCAGTAGCCTCACCAGCACCTAGAGCAGCAGTACCAATGCCCGGGTCGGGCGGGAAACACCGGTAACAGTCACCCTCATCACTTATAGTCACATCATACATGGCAGCAAGGATAGCATCAAAATCAAGATCATAGATAGCTACGCCTGCCTAGAAATCTCTCCCCAGCGGGGGATCTCACTGGCCTCCGGGAACTGCTGACGCCAAGCGTCCGTCAGGCGGCCAAAGTAGCGCTGGGTGGGGTGGGCACCCCCACACTACTCACCCGCGCGGTCGCCGGAGCGAAGGACGTAGGTGCACGGACCAAAACCCCCACCACGCTGACGCTGCGCGTACCACTCACGGAGCTGCAGAGGGGGGGGAATGTCCCGAGAACGCTGCTGCTGCTGGCGCTGACCACCACCAAGGCTGCTCCGCTGCGAAGCGCCACCCCGACCACCTCCACCTCCTCCACCACCGCCTCCTCCACCTCCACCACCACCGCCGCCTCCGCTAGCACCGCCGCCGCCTCCGCCGCCTTCGCCTCCACTACTGCCACCGACACCTCCACCCCCGCCACCACTCCCACCGCCACCCCCACTCCCTCCGCCGCCTCCACCGCCACCTCCACCGCCCCCGCTAGCTCCACCCGTGCCCTTGCCCCCCTTGTCCTTGCCAGAGCGGCGTCTCCCGCAAGGGGCAGACGCCGCACCGACCGACTCAAGACCAACGAGGTTGGCCGCAGCGGCAGAGGCGACAGAGGGCAAAAGGGGGGAAGGAGAACACCCCTCAAAGATGGGGGTGCGAGGGTCACCACGAGAGGCTCCTACAGCGACTATGCTCTTCTCCGCTGCTAGGAGGGCCTTCTCTAAGAGGTCAACAGTGAGAGTGGAGGGACAGACTGCGAGGAAGTGATCCCTGACTACACGAAGGGAGTCAGGGAGGCGAGTGACTATATAATAGAGAGTGATGTACATGGGGGGGGGGGGGGGGGGGGGGGGGTTCTTGGTGCAGAAGTCAGCAGGAAGCGCGGCGCGGTAGCGAGTGTCACTAGTGCGGAGGTGCGTAATGAGGTCAGCGACTGTGGGAAAGGCAGCAAGGTCAAGGAAGAGGTACGGTAGCATGAGGCGGCTCAGTGCAGCAGTGGCAGGGGAAGAGTAGCGCGCAACTACAGCGTCGTACAAGGTCTGAGCACTCTTGCACTGACTAAAGTGCGCGCGTTCAGTGGTAGGCAGGTGGCGACGGACAGCAAGATGTGCAGCAGCATCGCGCGTGGCCCACTGGGAGCGAACAGTGGGGTCAGCATCAGCAGCAGGGGCAGGAGAGGCGCCAGAGGTGAGGTCAAAGAGAGAGAGACCGTCTGCCCTATCGCACTGTAAGAACAGCTGCAGGTCGTCGACCCAGACCTCAAAGTCAATGGCTCGACCCTCAGCGTCAAACGCGAGGACACTAGGGGTAGCCATGGCAACAGTAGACTAGCAGTACAAACTGTAGGACAGGGGCAGTGCAGTGACAGAAGCGCTGCTCTCACCAGACAGGGCGGTTCAGGCAGCTCAGTAGCACAGCAACACGGCAACACGGCTGCTCAGACGGCTCAGCAGCAACTGCGGCTCCGCGGCACCAGCGGCTCGGCTCCTCAGGCGGCTCGGGCGGGTCGGGCGGCTCGGGCGGCTCGGGCGGCTCGGGCAGGTCGGGCGGCTCGGGCGGCTCGGGCGGCTCGGGCGGCTCGGCTTCTCAGCGGCTCAGGCGGCTCGGGCGGCTCGGGCGGCGCGGCCGCTGAGACGGGCGGCGGGGCTGCAGCGAAGGGCGGCGGGGCCTCAGTGTGAGGCGGCGGGGCTGCAATGTGAGGCAGCGGGGCCGCAGCGAAGGGCGGCGGGGCCGCAGTGAAGGTCGGCGGGGCCGCTGAGACGGGCGGCGGGGCCGCAGCGAAGGGCGGCGGGGCCGCTGAGAAGGGCGGCGGGGTCGCAGCGAGAGAGGCGACGGGGCCGCAGCAAAGGGCGGCGGGGCCGCTGAGACGGGCGGCGGGGCCGCAGTGAAGGGCTGCGGGGCCGCAACGAAGGGCGGCGGAGCCGCAGCGAAGGGCGGCGGGACCGCAGCGAAGGGCGACGGGGCCGAATCGACGGGCTGCGGGGCCGCTAGGGCGGCTCGACGAAGTGAGAGCCCGGAGCGCGACTCGGGGTGAGTGCGCTTCGGGCAGGAAAAAAAAAAAAAAAAAAAACTCGATGTGGTGGGCCCTAGGCACAGTTCCCACGGGGGAACCTGCTCGATACCATGAGGAAATTAGAACGAGAATGAAATGACTATGGAATGAAAGTGATACAAATATGCAACCCTAGAAATGTGTACCCCATATGGGCTACCCCACTAAAGCCTAGACAACATTATAATTTGTCACTTGGGCCACTTGGGCCACTTCACCTCTTGGATCACTTGCAGTGGAAGATTCGTCAGCGTGGCGACAGCGAGATTTTGGGATTTACCAGCGTGGCGACAGCGAGATTGTGGGAGGGGGGATATCTCGGCTGATTCTAAGTGAAAGTACATGCGACATTTCTTCTAGGGAGTGATTTTCGCAATATCCTCCCGTAAGGAATCGGACTCGATAACAGCTATACTAGGAATCTATAAGAAAAGGGGGTGTTATAGAGAATCACCCCAAAAATGGGGGTATAGTACTAACGGGGTCGGATATAACACCCACCCCGTATAAGCTACCCGGGGGTATACAATTACGGGGGGGTGTTTTATCCGGGAGAATACGGTAGCGGGTCAGTGCGCCCATAACCCCCCAGGCCAGCGTGCTTGTAACCCTTCCCTATGATCAATCGGGGATCACTAGTGGACTTCTGGCACTTTTCTCACTTGTTGATCTTCGCTGCACGCTCTATATGAGCTGATGCGTTACTGGTACATGAGCTGTTTCGTTATGAATCAATGCGCTAAGGTTGTTCCAACAGCTGGTGCAGCGCGTAAATTCTGGTTACGGTCAGCGAAAAGTCGGTTGTTGGTTTCTTGACCAGGACCTACTTTTGGATTTTAGGTACTCTGAATTCCAGAGTGGTTTTTTTGCCAACTCTGAAATATAGGGTTGTTCTTACGCCTCACTCTGAGTGGTCAGAGTAACCCTATGTTCTGGGAAAAAAACTCAGGCACGTCAGAGTAATATTTTGCTTTACTCTGATGTTAGTTTACTAAGGTGTATGATCTGTATGGGTAATTTGTTACGCCTTTCAGAAACTCCAGAGTCCAGACCCGTCATAGGGCGAGAGCTGCATGACGGGCCGGGATCAGGTTCAGGCGCAGCAGCGTCAGCGTTGTCTGCATTGAACAGGGTGCGGAACAGAGTGGGGAGACGCGTGGCTGTGATGTTGGGGTACGCAAGGCACCTGATGGATTGGGGAAATGGGTGGAGAAACTGTGAGCCAGCCGAGCACTAGCAGGCCTTGGCGCCAACACTCGAACGAAATCTGGATGGTGTTCTCGGCGACTTGGGGAAAACCCGATATTCGGGAGAGGGGGGGAGGGAGGGGGGGGGGAGGTGGGGGGGGTGGCTAGGGGGCATGTATCCTCTGTACAGAGTAAACTCGGTCCTTAGAATAAAAACCCAGAGAGCTCAGAGTACCGTAGCCTACAAGAAAACTCTGATAAATCAGAGAAAACTAAAATTTTAAAAGCAAAACCCAGCAGATACAGAGTTCCTTTCAAAAATGACTCTGATTTTCAGAGAAACAGAGTAATTTACTCGGAAAACGTGGGGCCTGTTCTTGACCCCCTTTGGTCATATGCTCTACATGAGTGTAACGCGATAAGTGGAGATTGCAAATCCATAAAAGAACCTTTTGGTTATTCCAACAAGTGGTTAATACATGGAGTACAATCTATTTTCAATATTTATATTTTTGTGACATAAACGCTGCTATTCCATCTCTGTCGCTGTTGTGTTGTCTCAGATTAATTCCTAGCTGTAACGAGACTTCCTAAAATTCATCCACGTTTCCTGTCACAAGCCCACTTCCTCCAAAGAGCTGGGACGACAAATTCTCGCACACACTACGTTGAGGGCGATACATTAGTCCTCGCTTTTGCGCCGTACTTTTGGCGGGTCGTCGGTTAAGTCACAAGCCGCACACGCGAAATATGTAGCGGCGTTTATGTATGCCAACATTGCGGCGAAATATAAAGTTCAGAGACTGTTCTACACTTGCCTGCAGCACGTACACGTACACGTGAAATAACGCCCAACTTACATCAGCCGTGGCCCCATTGCACTCGCCTCG